GGGGGACACCCGGGATAACCCCAATTCCCTTCTGCCCGGGATAACCCCAATTCCCTTGGGGGGCAGCCGGGATAACCCCAATTCCCTTCTGCCCGGGATAGCCCCAATTCCCTTCTGCCCGGGATAGCCCCAATTCCCTTCTGCCCGGGATAACCCCAATTCCCTTCTGCCCGGGATAACCCCAATTCCCTCGGGGGACACCCAGGATAACCCCAATTCCCTTCTGCCCGGGATAACCCCAATTCCCGAGCCCGGCCGGGTACCGGGAGCCGCCTCCATCCCGGGCGCTCCGGCGGAGCCAAATCCCCCGGGAGCGGCGGGGGGAGGAGGCTGCCGTGATCCGCTGCCGCCGCTCCCGCCGTGCTCCCGCAGATTATCCCGAGCCTTTGGGATCTCCGGGAGCCGGGAAGAGCCGCGGGAGCACCGCAAGGCCAGGGCTGCGGACGCGGCCCCGTTTCTCTGCTGCCGGAATTCCCAAGCCAGGTGGGAGAGGGAGACGCTGGGGATGAGCGGGATGGGATGAGGGGATGGGATAGGATGGGATGTGTGGGATGGGATGAGGGGATGGGGAGAGCAGGATGGGATAGGATGGGATGAGGGGATGGGATGAGCGGGATGGGATGTGCGGGATGGGATGAGGGGATGGGATGAGCGGGATGGGGAGAGCGGGATGGGATGAGCGGGATGGGATGTGAGAGATGGGATGGGCGGGATGGGATGAGGGGATGGGATGTGCGGGATGGGATGAGGGGATGGGATGTGCGGGATGGAATGTGCGGGATGGGGACAGGGGGATGGGATGGGGGGATGGGATGAGGGGATGGGATGGGCGGGATGGGATGTGAGGGATGGGATTTGAGGGATGGGAATGAGCGAGATGGGATGAGCGGGATGTCCGGGATGGGATGTGCAGGATGGGATGAGGGGATGGGATGAGCAGGAGGCAGCCCCGGGCGGGGAAGGGGCTGACCTCGCTCCCAAATTGGGCTGGATTTGGGTTGGGATGAAGCTGTGCCCTCTGTGCCCGCGGGAGGGTCTCACCCTGCCGGCACCCCCAGCCCTTCCCTGCCCGCTCTCCCGGAGCTGGGGCACCCCGGGGCTCACGGTTTGGGGACAGGGAAATGTCTCCTTGTGCCACCCGGGTTTGGGGTGACACGGGGGCCGCCCCACTGCGGGCTCTGCTCGAGCCCCCCCTGCTGCTGTGCCTCAGTTTCCCCATCACGCCCGTCCTCCCTCCCCAGGGTCACTGCTGGGGTGGGAGGAACAGAAGGGTTTGCTCCCACCGAATCCCTCCTGGTCCCTCAGAGCCGTGGCCAGGCAGGAGAAGGACAAACAGCCCCTTCCCAAACAGCCTCGGGCTGCTCCCCACCCAAACTTCTGTCAACTCTGCCTCAGTCCCTGCGTTTTGCACGAGAGGGGCACTGGGCAGCCTTTGCCCCAGGCAAAACAACCCAAAAAGCTCCTGGGGCCCTTGGCTGCTCCTCTGTGGGCTTGGAAACCTTCCCAGAGCCTGGGGATGCTGTCCCCATGCCGGGGGAGCCTTTGGGGTGCCTTTGAGGGATCAGGGCAAGACAAGGCACCAAAATCCCCGTCCCCAGCCCAACGGAGCCCTCGGAGAGCGCCATGGACGAGTGGGATCTCCCACAATGGAAAAAAGAGGTGGAAAGCCTCAAGTACCAGCTGGCCTACAAGAGGGAGATGTCCTCCAAGACCATACCTGAGTGAGTGGGGCTTTCCTTTCCCTTTTCTCCT